AAAGTTCTGATTAGAGTGTATGATTGAATTCATAGCACGCAATTAATTTCCTGTTACCCATTCGCAATTTCTACATTTTTAATGACGTATTAATACAATTATATTGGTTAGTGTGAATACTCCATTTCTTTGTTACCTACCTGAACAAAGATTGTTGAAACTCGTTTTAAAGTAACTGTTACAAATATATTATAGCGAGAGCAGTGCAAAGCGAGCTCTATAGATAACATGTGAATATATATAAGAATATGGAAAAAAACTATATACCCCTAAGACTTTGAAAACAGTGCACTTCCGGTCAATAGGCACTGGTAGTTAGTTTCTTGTTTTTGAGCGAAACAGCTCATACATGATAAAACATCTTCAGCCTGTGTTTCAATAATACAGCTGTCGTTTTCCGTTTTCTGGCAATAGACTGAATATACTAGTAGTTTAATTTTGAATAGTGTTTTCGAATCATTTTGATTAGCTGTAACACAAAAATCTTGCATGGCACCATCTTGAATCTCGCTCAACTCCTGTGTGAACTCATAACTCGCTTTCCGCAGTTCATACGCTTTGACATTCTATGTTTACGTCAGTTATATTTTTAGTAAATCACTAAACTGCTCAGCTGTGCGCTTACTTGCCTGTTACGTATTATTTTAATATTATTTGTGTGCTAAAAATTATTAAAGCACATACGGTACTACCTTTGGCAGAGCTCCAGAAGGAGTACCTACACTTTATGCAAATTTTTTTTAAAAATTATGCTAATTTATTCATGACGTAGCAGTTTCTGTGCTCATGAATATTCATTAATTTGTGGGTCATTACATTTTAAAAGGGGCGATATATTATTTTTGGGGGAAGAGTTAGAAAGGGGGATTAGCAATCCTTAGGGGGTCAATACAAAAGAAGGGACCCATTTGGAGAGCAGCCATGCTCCTCGTGTCTGTTGTTGCACGTGACCTACAGCTGTCAACTGTGTTCGTTCTTCGACTGTGTTCGTTCTTTGACGACTTCGACTGGCTTCCATGTGAGGTAGTATTCTTGTGTTCTGTTTTCCTGACTTGAGTTTTTGAATCCGCTGTTTATGATTTTAACGTCTTTCATGTCTTTTGTAGGAGTGTCCAATCCGTGATTCGAACTTGCGATCTTTGAGTTCCCAGCGCACTGTCTTGTCCACTGTACCACGAGTGTCTTCACACAGGAGTTAGGATTTAAGTCCTATTCATAGGACACTGTCTTCACTAGCATTCAAAAATCTAACTAAACATACTGGATTCGAACCAGCGATCGCTCACATTGCTGACATAGTACAAATCAACTGAGCTATGTGGGTAGTCATGCAAATTAAATAATTTGTTGTCATATTTAGCTTTATGCCAAATGGTGTTTG